TTATTTTCCAGTTTAAAATCAGCTTCCACTTTATAAGATAAATTACGTCCTAGACAATCCAGTTTTGTAACAGTAAATTCATGTCCCTGTATCCTTTTCTCCAAATAATTTTTATATCATCTGTTGTTGATTTAGGTTTACAACGACCTACATAAACCCACTATCAACGCTGTGAAGAAACATTTTCTTCATTTATCTTTTCCATTGCCCCCCGTACCAATTATAATTTTCTTTTTATTAGCTGTGCTTCTCTTTCGAGCATGTTCTGAATATCGCTCCCCTCATTTGTTTGTATTGATGTTTTTGTCGTTAATCTTATCATCGATATGAAATTCTTTTTCAATAATTGTGTTGCCGGACAAATTTGATTCATTTAACTTGTTAATTAAATTTAGGTCACAAATATTGGAATTAATAGCATTACTTAACAATAGCCTAACCATGTATATATTACTTTCCTTCAATACAGTTATTTTGTTAGTGTTATAAATTGGTCATTAACAATATTGACCGGACACTAACGTTAGCAGAATGCCAAATCAAATAGATTTACCAAAATGACTGGCCAATATCATTAAAGACCGAAATATCATCTTTGACCGTAACAATTTCATTTTCTAAAGTGTTTATTTCTGCAAGAAGTTTATCTGTATGTTCTTTTGCAATTTTATTGATAATATCTTTAAGTTAACTAACCTCCTTTCTAGTACTTCTCGTCATTTTAAGAAAAACACAACACATTTTACACGACATCCTCGCATCGTAGCTTAGTTAAGGGACACACATAAATAATATACGATGATGGTTGAAAATAATAATCTGACAAAATGTTAAAACTCAGATTGGATGTTTGCAGATATATTATTTACTTACAGAAGGCATTTGTAACGTAGGAATACTCCGTGTTCAGTAATTATTAAAAGGGTCCTTCTATACCCGCATTTAAACCACTGTGCTTTTGGATCGATATTCGAACGGCTGATTTTGTCGTCACAATCGAAGGCGTTTTTTGGCGGGCATTTTTCTATAGATTCAGGGGTTTTTCTGCGACACTCTGAGCGAGTAGGTGGCTGCCCTGTATTCAAGATGTAGGTCTCCGGATATATGAGCAGTTTGGGGTATATAGGACCTCTATTTGAGTTTAGTTAGGCTATTTATTTCGTTTAAGAAGCTTTGTTTGCTTATTTTAGCGCTTTCTGTCAAGAATTTATTTCGTAATAGAGGGCGCTGATGGGACAACTATCTGTCACTAAGGTATGTTGGTATTACTGGTTTTTGGAGATGTCAGGTGACGTTGTTCCGTCCTTCTTGGAATTTCGAGATTCGCTCCACACGTGGATTTGTTTGAAAGGTACTGTTTCGAAATTTATTGGAACTCGTTTCAATTCATTTGGGATATTGCGAAACAACCTTTTGTTTAAGTTACAATAGTGGGATTTGGTAGTATTTTGGTGATTACCTGTTGTAAGAGCTCTCTTAGGAGGATATATTTAACCACGTGTTGAATCTCATTGGTAAGTTTTCTTTTACGTAGTATTTAAAGTTACGACGTAGTAATTCTTATTGTAAGGCCTTCATCTTTTATTTCAGTGCCCACATATATATGTAGTTTTTCTAAATAAGCCGTTCACGAATTTGCCGTTCAATTTGATCTGGTGCATCGTTTGTTCCTCCTTTTACAGATTAAAAAGGGGTAAATATAGTTTGATTTTAGACAATTAAAACCCTAATTTATGTTTCTTTTCGTTGTATATATTTTCAATGTATGGGATTGACTTTTAACGGGTAGTATTTTGTACCCCAAGTTTTTGCTATCCTATTACTATATTACTATTTAATCTATTTTATTGGGGGGTTATTAGTACGTATTTTTATCTAAACCTAATGTAAACGAGGTTTATGGGTGTATAGTTTACAGTACATTTTATTAAACCCGAAACGCGTCACCAAGAGCTCTTCATGTGGTATATTACTGATGGGTAACTAATATTTTTAGTAACAGAGTTTTACTTGTTTTTACCCCTAGCGTCCGTAAATAGTACACTATTATTTATTTATTTATTTATTTATTTGCTAAATACAGTACACACCTCATGTGTTACATTTTTAAGATTACCCCTAGTCCCATTTAATTATTTTTAAAGTCTAATATAGCGTTTAGTTGTGAATAATACTCTTAGTGATACTGGATTATTGTTAATAGTTGGGGAATTTAGTAGTGAATGTACTAAGTGATTTAGATGTTAAATATTGCTTATTTTTACGTGTGAACGAAGTTGACCCCCCATGTCAACACAATAATTAATTTATAATTATTAAACTTGGGTATATATATTGAATTTTCTTGTTATTTGACCCCACTTGCTAATTGTCTATTTGATTACACAATCAGGTTGGTCAATAAGACCTATGGTAAAGTAACATTTATAATGCAATAGGAGCATACTCAATTTGTAGCCGCTTGATGGCCTTGTAGAGGAGATGCTTATAGTTTTTCTATTTGGAGTTTGATAGTGAACTATCACTTGGATCGTTGGATGTGAAGTTAAACTCCTGGCGCCCACTCACAAACATAACTTTTTCTACGACTCACCCCCTTCTTCACTGTTGTTAGTCGGCATCCAACATTTGGATTAATATAAATTCCACCTCGGTGCTTAGGCACGGAAAGTAAATCGCATTAAGTGATATGTTAGAAATGTTTACATGCTTTTCATGTAGACTATTAAATGGCGTTATATGTAATTCTGAATTAAGAATTAAAATGTTTCGTAAAGGTGTGCGCCATGAGGATTTCAAGTTTATTAGGTAATAAAACGATATTCAGAAAAATTACGTACTTGGTTTTCATCCTCCAAAGACGTTATTGGAAAGAAGAATTGGCGAAGTTCGTATAGGCTACAGAAGAAAAGTAATATATGCTTTATATTTAAGGACCGACAAGACATTGATTATATAAGGTTTTCCAACAACATGTCATAACTGATACGACTTAAAGAATTCTAAAAAATTAGCTTTGAATGATTAATTTCCTACCAAATTTTTTTACTTTATTGATTTTGTAAAAACTAGTCTTAACATCATTATCAATTATTATCAACTATTACTTTCTAACTATACAGGCTATCTCTAGATGGATTGAAGAAGAGAAAAAACTTTATTTTCAACTTTTAAAGAACATTTTTTCGTCATAAATTATTGTTTATTTTAAAAATAATAATAATAATAATTTAAACCTAATTTGCTTTAGTGAAATAATAGCAGAACCGATTTTTTTACATTTTTTGTTATTTCACTAAAACAAGAATTATTCAACTTCTGTTTGGATTATTATAAGTTTTGAAACAAAGTAAAACCTTTTAGAAAAATAACAAATTTTCGAAAAGTTGACAACAAAAAAGTTTTTCTGCCTCTATTTCAGTCCATCTGTGAAACCCTGTATAATAAAGTGTTTCCATTTTGATTTTCATTTATCAACATCACATGGTTTGCTTAACAAACACTTTTTTCGCACGTTTTGGACATCGTAAATTCATGACAATGAATCAATTCAATATTTCTGAAAATATGTTTCTGGTTTTCTTCCATGAAATGCGAAGTGCTCGTTATATTTTGCACAAATGACGTCCACCAACACAGAAAAATATAACAAATAGTCTCTCTTATATCTGGCTTACCAATCTCCGCTTACACGTAATTTGTCCAGCTTCAGAATTTCCAGAGGGTGAACTCCAGTGGCGTAGTCTTAACTAATTTCAAATCCGTCGTATTTGCTGTTGACCTGTTATTTTGACAATAAAAGAAAATGCAAATGAAGCCATTGGATTGCAAAAACTAGCTATAAGTAACGAATTTGGCAGATGGACTAAACGTTAAAAAATATTAATATAAAGGAACTAAAATCTCTGAAATAACAAAAACAAACTACCTATCTAAATAGATCCCATATAAAAATAAAACTAAGCATCTAAGAGTGATGTTAGATGCAACGGTCAGGTGAAAACACCACATCAAGAAGACTAGTTAAGAGCTAGATGTTAAACATAAAATAAAAAGATAGGAGAAAACCGTCAGATTTTGGGTGAGCTAAAAGTAAAAGTGTTTAAAACGCAGAGAACATTGTTAGTTATTACAAATAAAGAAAAAGGTAAACCAAATAACAGTTAGTACTCACTTGGGAAACGCTACTGGGTGATTTCTTAATTTTACACTTTTAATTCAATAAAATTGCAAATTAATCGATTTAGATCAGGTGCAATATAGCGCTCAATAAAAAAACATCTGTTGTGAAGTTGCATATCATAGCACTTGTAAAAAAATTAAATTAGTTTTTTTAAAAACTAGAAGCTTTCACTTTTGCACAAACTTGAACTGAACTATTGAATCTAATTCATTTCGCTTTGCACATAAGATTGTTTGAAGTCAAAAAGAGAATGGTCATGATTTGTTTCAATGTTGGTAGTTAAGGAATATGATCATCGTTTTTAACGCCAGCTGTTTCAACATTCAGATCAAAAAATGCCGCATAAAAATAATACATTTCTTAAGTTTTGACTAAAGTTGGCTGTTAAAATATTCTTATTCTCGAAACTCATTTTTCGAATTTTTAATAAAATTATGGACATCTAGAATGAAAACTTCAATCAACTTGCATTTTGACTTTACCATCAGAAAACACTATTGATTATCAAAATCTTTATTTTAAAATAAATGTAGAACTTTATATATTAGCGTTTTTAAAATGGTATGTAGCTTATTTTATTGACAACGGCATGGGCGGTCAGTGGCGTGTTTAGGATCTAGGTCTGGGGGGGCCAAGGTACAAATATGTATAACAATACTAAAATATACTATACTAAAAACAAATATTTAATACTAAAACTTACCAACTTACTTAAAACAAATAAAAAAATTCTAATAAACTAAACAAAAAAAAAACAGTATTAGCACTAACCAGTAAACTTAAAAATACGTATTAAAAAACTTTTTTAATTATATAATTAATCAGATGACCAGTCTTTAAGGTTCATTCGTCTAGGTTTACTTGTAGCAAACCTAGTTATTATATTATTAATATCAACATTAATTTCTTTATGAATATTAAGTAAAGCCAGACCATTCAAACGATTTTCAGTCATAGTCGATCTTAAATACGTTTTTAATCGTTTTATATTCGAAAAACTCCTTTCTGCTGTTGCCGTGGACACAGGCAACGTAGCAAATATCTGCAATAATATTTTTATCGACGGAAATACATTTGTCGCAAAACAAAGTGCTTCAGTAGCTGTGGAAGGCAAATTCAGTTTATCAACCTTTTCCCATCTTTTCTGCCACATGATTATTTCAGCTCTCAATTCTTGTTCTGAGATATTAATATCTGCTTGGTACATCAAACTAGTTTTAAAAATTTGTTTTATAGGATAAATTTTATTATTTTTTGGGATAAGGCCTTCAAGAGGTAATATTGTTTTTAATCTATCATTAAATCGTGAATTAAGTTGTGATAGAAAGTTATCAATAAAAGGAATAAATATTGAACGTTTAAAATATTCCTCAGGTGATCTTGATTCCATGTTTTCTCGCTGAGTTTGTCGTCCACATACTCTAAAATTAAAATATTGTTGGTGTTGTTTTTACAACAGGTACATTATATAAATAACAAGACTTACCTTGGCACAATTAATTCTACATCCAAGTTGTTTGCCATGGATTGAGCTGCTAAAAATATGTTATTAAATTCTCTTTCGCTATTTTCTCTAAAATCCTGAAATGTTATTAAAAGGATCTGGATACTTTCAAGTGCTGCTGAAAAGTCCAGTGTAGGATTTTGCAATAATTTGCTTAACTTCACACTGTAAGCAAAGCAGTGTGCACCTATTGCCAAACATATTAAAAAATCGCTTCTCCTAATACAGGCATTGTAGCTCATTGCATTAGAAGCGGTATCACGATCTCCATCGTGTTCTAAATACTCTAAAACTTGAACTATGAATGGAAGCAGTTCCTGAAAGATAATAAGGGTATCGTGTCTTTCTACCCAACGTGTTTCGCAATAGGACTTTAAACGTGTTTTCTTAAAATCGTTACTGTTTTCACTTTCAGTGATCGTTTTCTGCAATAAGTTAACCCGTTTTGGAGAAGCACTTAAAAAAGTGGAAATTTTGCCGATAATCCCGATCATATTTTTCATGCAAGAAATATCACAAGATTTTGAAATGCATAAATTTAGTGAATGATTAAAACAGTGAGTATACACTGCTAAAGGATATTGTTTTTGTATGAGTGCCGCCAACCCTAAAAAAAAAATTAAATTAGTTTTATAACAAATACGTACTACGTAGGTAATTGATCTTTACCATTTTCTTTGCCTGCCATATTTGAACCTCCATCATAACCTTGGCCTCTACAGTCAAAAAGATCCAAATTCATTTTTGTAAGTTGATTTTCCAAAGATTCTTTTAGGGCAACTCCAGTCATAGATTTAACTTCTACAAAACTCAAAAAGTCTTCACGAATCAAGAAAGTATTATCTTCAATCTTACTATCTACGTAGCGAATACAAATTGTCATTTGTTCTTTTCGTGAGGAATCTGTAGTTTCATCTACCAATATACTGAAGAATTTTGCATTTTTGATCCGTTCTAAAATGATTGATTGTATTTCTTCTCCTACTGAATGTATCACATCATTCTGTATTGTATTACTAATCATGGTTGCATTTTTTCCCGTAGTTTTCAAATGTTCTAATAAATTAGTATCTCCAGAATCTATTCTGAATGCCAAAAGCGCTCTGAAAACTCCTTGAGCACCAGATAAGACTTCCTGTTGGATTTTTTCATCATTTAAGGAACCTTTCTCTCTATGACTCCTGAGAGGTAAATTATTACGTCCACAAAATATAATTGTTTTTACAATGGGTACCAAACATTTTCTATTTTGTTTTATAATATTTTTGTGTTCGTGGTCAATCAACACCGATACACTTTCTCCAGATTCAAATTTTCCTATGAATTCTCCAGCACGTTCTAAGCTTTTAATGTGGTACTGCTTGTAAGAATGATCTTGCAGTTCTCGTAAAGCGTTTTTATATTTTTTCATTGGTTCGGCAACTAATGTTTTAAGCGGCTATAAAAAAGTGAAATAAAAAATATGTAACTCGTAACTCGAATAACACGCAAGTACAATAAATACTACTCACCCGAAAATTAACTCCGCCTCCAGCAGGAGCAAATAAGCAGCAGAATTTACAGAATGCTCCGTCTTTAAATTTACTATAAACTAACCAGTCGTATTTTTTAAGCCATTCTCGTTGAAACTGTCGAGTATGATTTTTTTCAATTTTAGACGGAAATTTATAGTTTTCTGGTGGTGTCCATGCTTGTTTTAAAAATTTATATCTCTCACTAGTATTTAAATGTCTATCAACTGCATAACCAATATCTAATTGGCTATAAATTTCATCTTTTGCGTCGACGCTTAAATCACTTGTGGTTGTGGCAGAAGTTGACGGTTTTTCCTGTTCTTCATCAAGTTCAATGTTTGCACGTTTTTGTGGGAAAAACTTCTAATGTCGCTTGATCGTTTCATCTTAACTTTTAATTTAACTTAAAACTGTATTTAAAACTAAGTATTTATTACTTACTTAACAATATCACATTATCATAGCGTGATATGAAGCACAGAGTAAAATTTACATAACCAAACACACAGAACCAAACAAATATGAATACAACTCGTACTCGTAGTCTTTTTTCTCTCTTAAGACCATTATGCATCATTGCATGCATCACATTTCTACATGCTAGCTCTGCTTCTGCGCGCTATGCCATCCAGTTGTTAGAGGTGGACGAAATATTAATTTATTAATACCTCGGTATATAATAACTGTTAACTGATTAGATTTTATTATGTCGGAAAGCTATACTTCAACTGCTCTGGGGGGGGGCCCGGGCCCCTCTGCCCCCCTGTGGGCGGTCAATGAGTATAAATACATTAAATATCCGTGATATGTAACAATTAACAATTATAAATCACTATTATTAGTACCCTTCTATATTGTATCAAGCTACAATGTTGTTATTTTATAAAAATCTCTAGCTATTTAAGAAAACATTTTTAACAAAAAAATTGTGACTGATAAACCAGTTTTTTATGTATAATTCTGAAATATATATTTGTAAAAAAAATATCTATGCCACTGAGTTCCTAACAACCTTGTTTTGTACCAAGTATTCAGATCTTGTTGCAAAACTTGTTAGGCGCAGGTCACTTGATCGAGGGTTGTATTTATCTAAATATAGTATCGAATTGGTCAGCGTATTTTCCTTTGAATTATGCTACGTTAAAGAAACTTTCCTTTTGTTTCTTTGTCCTTGCTTTATTTGTTTTTTAGCTATGTATTTTTCATTAAAACACGAAAAAAAAAGCACAGTAAGAGGTCGAAGAAATGTCGCTTATTTTTTACTACAGTGTTATATAATTTAAAATATTTTAATAAAAGATGATATTGAAATTATTGACAATATACAGGGTGTTTCAAAAATGTATATTATAAATTCTTCCTAAATAAAAGAGGTAGTTTTTGCAGGAGCGGCTCAAGCAGAGCCCTAGACTCACCACTGATTTTTATGTGCGTTTTTTGTACAATAACTCCTGATCTACTCTTAGTTTTGTTGATATGTTCCAGGACGGACGAATTGTTCTAGAAATTCAGTTAAAAAATTGTAAATAACTCGCTAACTAAGAAAGTTACAAAGTTCACTTCGCTATAAAAAAAAAATTAAAAATTCATAGTTCTTTTTGATTTTAAGATCGATAAAGCAAGTTTCTTTATGTAAAAAAAAAATACGGGGGGCTTAAAAGATGCCCAACCCCTAACTTTTTTTAAAGGCAGTATACGCAGAAGAAAGACTAGGAACTTCCATAACACAGTTTATTTGACAAGCTATATAAAAATTAAAATGACAACTTCAATATTCTAGTAGACTAGTAAATGCATAAAGGTAAGTAGTTAAGATGATAACTCTCATGAACTCTAACACCCACTCTTAATGAGAGGTATTTAAAAACTTAACTCCTAGTGATCCGACGTGAGTTTGAAAGCTTGGCTTGTAAAGGGGCTTTGTGAAAATGTCAGCCACCATACTCTGTGTCGGTATCTCCGAGCAATTACTAATAGAGGGAGTGTGAAAACGAGTTGGTAGGCGATTGTTGTGTTAGCAACATCTGTAGAGGAAGTGAGGAAGCGGGCACAAGGGGGAAGGTAAACATCCTTCTTGTTCAGTGGCGTATCATTTATCTATAAAAACACATTGTCCAAATGTTTTAATTGTAAAAAACAAATTAAAAAATTTGCTAATTATACTATTTTTAAAATGAATACCGTCTTATATGTGTCTAATGCAGGAAAATAAATAAAATCACTGTAAAGATCTAATTTTTTCAATTGAAGAATAAAACCTTAAAATCAATTTTATTATAAATACAGGAGCAACTAGTTTCGGCCTTACAGGAACATCTTCAGGCCTGCAATACAATAATCTTTTATTATAATAGGTTGATCACTTACGAATAACATTAAATAGTATAAACCACATAAATGGAACCATATTGTAGCGTTACAGCATTATAGAATTAAAGCTGTGAAAATAAAAGAGCAGTGCAAACGTAACTAAAAATAAGAAAACTGAGTACGGAATCTACAAGAGAAGAGGTGAGAATGAACAATTACGAATGCATTTAAATTGCTCGGGATAACTAATAAAGCTGATAATGTAGTGGTATAGTCCCCATCAAAGAAGGTCTGGATATGTTAAAGAGGACGGCGTTTTCTCTGTAAATCTGGAGAATTTAAAGGATGGAGGGAAGACGAATCTTGCTGGCTCAGGTGTAGATGGCTAGAAAAAGGAGCGTGTAGATGAAAGCTCCAGTAAATATCGTCACTTTCGTCTAATTTTTATTCTCACTCACCGTTTCGGCTTTATCTTCGAAATTCATTTTTAAAAGGAAATAAAAGTAATCATTCATACAAGCATATAATAAAACAACATGAATTTATTATATTTAATAAGCTAATAAACGTTTGTTTTAATGAAAAAACATATATGTGAGTATAAAAAATATATAAATAGATAAGATTAATATCAAAATCAATTTGAAAATACAACAGATAATAAAATGAAATAAATTAATACAAGTACAAATAGAAAGTTAATAACATACCTTCTAAAAGTAACACATTTTAAGTAGATAAATGTTTAAAGAGTTTATTCCTGAACATAACTAATCTAACGTTTTTCCCCTTTTTAATATTATGAGGGTTTTTGTAGTTGAAGTGAAAATTATAATTTATTTTGGTCCTAATAAAAATTTAAACATAGGTTATCAAAGAGTAAAATTCATAATAGAACTTTATAATCTTAAATCGTTATCAAAAATTATTAATGGTAAAACTTCAAATAATAGATTCTTAAACAAATTTCTAGTTTTTGTGTTGCAAAAGACTTTTTTGCCTTCTTCAGTTGCCTCTGCCACTTTTCTTTTAGTAGTTTCGAGGAGAATTTTCCTATGGAAACCAGTAGAACCATCAATTGGTTGGTAAAATTTTGATATTTTGAGTCTGGTAAGTCTTGATAAACTTTCTTCTTAGGAAGCTATAACCTTATGGAGAATAAAAATTTAATGTTAGATCAAAAGCTCTTAATTGAGAATTATATTTGCAAATTCCGTTTTAATAATATTTTCAAAAGTTCTTGGAATCGTTGTTAACAGAAACCTGCAAAAAATATATAATTTTATTCCTAAAATATAAGATATCACACAATGCACATTCATATAATATCATTGTGCTAGAAAAATACTAGGTAGTTACTGAGACAATTTAAAAAAAGTATTTCGAGAAACTCAACTTTTAATGTCATCATTGTACTTAACTTTTTTATTACTAAATTATTAATAATGTCATTTTGTGTAGTTCGTTGTGATTAAAACAAATTAAGTACAAAAAATCTGATGTGTCCAACACATGACTTTCCTATCTAGTTATTACAGGCTTCTTCCGGTTATTTTGTACAACCTATTGCAGCATCTCTATAAATGTTTAGAGGATAAACTAAATATATACATTGTCCGCATACATCTACCTCGAAACATTTTTCTATAGATATTCATTGAAAATGAAAATACTGAAAAATTTAAATTTAGCACTTTTCCTACAATTTTTCCATTACGGTCCATTTTAAAAAAATCATGTATAAACAAATATTATAGAGATCGATATCGCAAACAACTTTTATTTCAACAATTTTCATAAAAATCAGAATTTTGCACATTTTGTCAAATTTTTCGAATACGGACCATTTCAGGAAATTTTTACATAAGGCAAAAATTATAGATAATAATATTAGAAGTAACTTTTATTTAAACAATTTTTTTTCTCCAAACATAAATAACAGATATATTCCCTAAAATATAAAAACGGCCTCCCATAAAGTACCTCCCCAGATGTTCCGACTTTGTCCAAAATCTAATCATTTTACGTCAGGCCGAAATAAAACTTAAGTTTAAAATTTAATGTTTTTTTCTTTATCCGTTTCTGAGTTTTCTTCAAATTTCGAAATTTACACATTTTCTCAAATATCTAAAATACGGTCCATTTTAGAGAAATTATCTATAGGATAAAAATCTGATGTGTCCAACACATGACTTTCCTATCTAGTTATTAAAGGCTTTTTCCGGTTATTTTGTACAACCTATTGCAGCATCTCTATAAATGTTTAGAGGATAAACTAAATATATACATTGTCCACATACATCTACCTCGAAACATTTTTCTATAGATATTCATGGAAAACGAAAATACTGAAAAATTTAAATTTCCTACAATTTTTTCATTACGGTCCATTTTATAAAAATCATGTATAAACAAAAATTATAGAGATCGATATCGCAAACAACTTTTATTTCAGAAACTTTCATAAAAATCAGAATTTTGCACATTTTGTCAAATTTCTCGAATACGGACCATTTCAGGAAATTTTTACATATAACAAAAATTATAGATAATAATATTAGAAGTAACTTTTATTTGAACAATTTTTTTCTCCAAACATTAATAACAGATATATTCCATAAAATATAAAAGTGGCCTCCCATAAAGTACCCCCCCCCCCCCAGATGTTCCGACTATGTCCAAAATCCAATCATTTCACGTCAGGCCGAAATAAACCTTAAGTTTAAAATTTATTGTTTTTTTCTTTATCCGTTTTTGAGTTTTCTTCAAAATTCGAAATTTACACATTTTCTCAAATATCTCGAATACGGTCCATTTTAGAGAAATTATGTATAAAATAAAAATTAAAGAGAATTATATTATAAACAACTTTTATTTGAACAATTTTTATAAAAAATAATTTTTTTTACATTTTGTCAAATTTCTCAAATACGGACCATTTTAGGAAAATTTTGCATAAAACAAAAATTATAGACAATTATATTAGAAGTAACTTTTATTTAAAGAATTTTCTTCTCCAAACGTAAATAACAGATATATTCCATAAAATATAAAAATGACCCCCTATAAAGTACCCCCCAGATGTTCCGACTCTGCCCAAAATCTAATCAGCTCATTGGACGTTGAAACAAAGCTTAAGTTTAAAATTTGGTGTTTTTCTGTGAATCGGTTCATGAGTTATGCGTTATACAGACACACACACACACACACACACACACAGACACACACACACACACACAGACACACACACACACACACACAGAC